TGTCTGTCTCTCTCTACCTACCTACCTACTTATCTATCTATCATCTGTCTCTGTGTTTATCTATCATCTCTCTCTCTCCCTCTAGTCTGTCTGTCTGTCTGTCTGTCTCTCTCCATCGTATTTCTTACCTTCCCTCTCAGAGGACTAAAGCTAACCCTTCCGGACTGGCCTCTCTCCTTTGAGATCAGAGAAGAAGGACTGGCTGTGGGATCTTCAGAAAATCATCTCCACTGCTTAGAAGAACTGAGAATGGAGATGGTTCGTCTGCTTTTTTATAAAGCCCCTCCAGGTTTTATATAAATAAAATAGCTGAGAGCAGTTGTGTTCACACAGGGCTTGGAGAGCTCTTTTGTCTGGGAAGCAACTCCTGCTGCCTTCCAGTGTTTTCGTTTTGGTGTTTTCCCCTCTCGAGTTTTGCATGTTTTTGGGAAACGCGAATTTTGCAACTGGTGCCCAGTAGAAGCCTAACAAAAGTCAGAATTCTGCTGGTCCACCGGAGGAGATGCTTTCAGGGCGACAGCGGTTTGGACCCAAGGCCTCGGATACCAGCGAATGTTTTATCGACTTCTTATAATTTTCGTCAGGATTTTGGAGCGGGGAGCTCGACGGTGACTGTGGAAGCGGAGGGGAAATTGGTGTTTGGTGGCTTGCCGCTCAGGTGTCTGGGGTGGTGTACAGATGGTAAGGGTTGCATGGTGTGTGTGCGGCTACAAAATTGCCCTCCTCACCACTTTCTGACGGGGGTGGGAGGGGGGGCATCCCTAGCGTGGCAAGTTTTGCCATTCAAAGCCTCGCCGGTTTTATGATTAAAGTCAGATGCTTGTATTTGCTCGGAGGTGGTGCTGTGGGGGGGTGGGTGGGAAGAATTTGGCATTTGAGAAAAAACCCCATGGGATCCGAATTGCGTACATAGCTTGTAAGGCTGGTGAAAAACAGATGTCTGGCGTTGCTTATTTTTAAAGCACATCTGGGAAAAGAAACAAGGAACAGATTTTTTTTTTAAAAAAAAACAACAATCCCGAAACTGCTTTTTTTTGGGGGGTGGGGTGGGGGTGGGGGGCTGAACTCTTAAAGAGAGATCTGTCACGGATTTGCGCATGTGTCCGTAAAGATGCTGGTGATGACATTTGAACCAATTTCATTCTGGATTAAATTCTTAGCAGAAATGATGAGCAGAAAGCAGGCTGTGCCTAGCTTGAAATAAACAAGAGAAGCACCGATCCTTTTATGTCTGAATTCCCCGCCGTTCCTATGCTCAAAATATATTCCTGGGTCGAAATGTACGTTCGGTTCTCAGTTGTTTGATTTTTGTGCCACGTGTCAAGATTTTAAGGGGTTTTTTTTTGTAAAAAAAAACAAACCACTGGATTCTTTAAACTTTTCATGTTTCCACTTTCCCTGTAGATGAGTCTTTAGCCAGTAGCTGGAATCTTATCACATATGAAGCCAACCCATGCTTGGGTTTTTGTGCGTGTGTTTAAAAATCTGGTGTGACTTCAGCCTGGCGGGTTATAAATGTATGACTTAGTCCAATGTATGAATACAATCAGTGGTGTTTTAATAATAAAGCATGAGGAAGCAAAGTAAGATTCACAGACGAAGGGAAGAGCTAAAGAACAGGGGTCGACTTGGGAGTGAGGCCACAGGTGGATGATGAATGGCCCCTCCCAGAGGAGATAAAAGAGGAGCGAAAGGGGAGTGGAGTTTGCAGGAGACAATTAGTTCGCTTAATTGGTTTGTGACTCTCCAAGATGCCTTGCCAAGTTTTACAGATACCGGCCTGGCAGCTCTCCAAGCCAGATAAGGTCTGTGACTGT